GACAGCGACGATGGCGCAGCTTCAGCACCAGCGGCCTCCGACGGTGAGCGTCTTCCCAGGGGCCGCAAAAGCCAGTGCGCTCCGGGGGACGGGAAGGTTCCGGGCTCCCAGTTCTGGGGTCCGACCTCGGGCTTCTGAGGACCTGCTTCTTCCCCCAGCTTCCACGAGGAGACTACAGGTCCCGGTGTGCACCGCGGCCCCGGCCGCCACCGCCTGGCGTGTTGGGAGCGCGGTGCGGCATGGCGGGGCATGTCGGGAGTCGTAGTCTGGCGCTCGTCACTTCGTAGTTGTGACTGGGTCAAGTGGAGCTGTTGGGGCTGTGAGGTCCAAAGGAAGCAGGACGTATTGGGAGCTCGAGGAGCATTATCAGGCTCTGGGGTGCATGGGAACGGTCGGTCGTGGGTGCCAACAGTAGTGGGGGCCTCGTGGAAGACTGAGCTGAAATCCTCAAGTCCTACAACACATTTCCTGCAGAACATGAGGAAAAGGAGCCTCAAAGGTCATCTTCCTCTAGAGGGTGCCTCCCAGTAATTTCCCCAGAGTCTCATAAGCCACTGAAAGCCCCAGGCTTCCTCTCCCCAACCTCAGGGCAGTATCATTGCCAAGGCCTGTATGTGGGATACAAAGGCTTGAAGGAAAAGCTACCAATGGGAACTGTCATCTGTCAGTGTGTCACCCACTCCAGACTGGTGTCTACTTCCCTGGGCTCCTGAGCATGATCATCCATCATCCTCCTTACCCCCAGATGGTGTCAGCCAAAACACAAAATCTGGGGCGGAGCTAGTAGTCCAGGTTCCTGTGGTGGATGTGCAGAGTGACAACTTCAAGGAGATGTGGCCATCCCTCCTGCTGGCCTTAAAGACAGCTAGCTTTGTGGCTTTGGACACGGTAAGCGCTGGGAAAGGGAATGCAGGTGGTCGTAAGGATGCTGATGCTGGGGCCATATCACAACCTTCCCTTTACCCACCCATAGGAACTGAGTGGGCTTGGGGACAGGAAGAGTTTGCTGAACCAGTAAGTATAAGCCCTGTTCTCTTTAGTCCCAGCCCTGGAAGGAGATGCAGACCTCAGCCCTGGAGTGGGAGTGGGGTGGGTCATAGTCCTGAGTAGCTTGGGTCCTGAAGCTGACTTCCAGCTTTAGCCACCTCCAAATTCAACCCCCAAGGTGCATCGAGGAACGATACAAGGCTGTATGTCATGCTGCCAGGACCCGTTCTATCCTCTCCTTGGGCCTCGCCTGCTTCAAGCAGCAGCCTGACAAGGTATGGGCTGACCTCAGTTTGTGGCTCAGGGGAGTAGGAACAAAATCCTGGAGAGCATTAGGTGGGTTTTTTTGTTTTGTTTTGTTTTTTAATCTTGACACAGCCGACCCCCTCTCTCTCCCAGGGTGAACACTTCTACCTGGCCCAGGTATTCAATCTTACCCTGCTCTGCATGGAAGAGTATGTCATAGAACCAAAATCTGTGCAGTTCCTGGTACAGCATGGCTTCAACTTCAACCGGCAGTATGCCCAGGGCATCCCCTACCATAAGGGCAATGACAAGGTAAGACTTCAGCTTCCCCAGCCTTGAGTCTGCCCTTTCTGTACTCCATTTCTCTGTACGTAGGCTGGGTGTCTGGGGAGAATCTACCTCTCAGGGAGTATGGGGTATCATTAGCAACAAAGCAGGGAAGTGAGACTGTTACAAGGGTGGGTACTATTGGGTTAGGTGGAGAGGGTGAGCTTCCCTGTTGGAGGAGCCTGAGACAAGTGTCCTGCAGGAAAAGCTCCCTGGGAGACTTGGTCCTTCCCAGTGATCCCTTTGCTTTCACCTAGGGTGATGAAAGCCAGAGCCAGTCAGTGCGGACACTGTTTTTGGAGCTAATCCGGGCCCGCCGGCCCCTGGTGCTACACAATGGCCTAATAGACTTGGTGTTCCTGTACCAGAACTTCTATGCACATCTGCCTGAGAGCCTGGGAACCTTCACCGCTGACCTGTGTGAGATGTTCCCAGCAGGCATTTACGACACCAAATATGCTGCTGAATTTCATGCCCGCTTTGTGGCCTCCTACTTAGAATATGCCTTCCGGAAATGGTGAGGGAATGGTTGAGGGGAAGGGGTGGGGCCTGGCACAAACCTGTTTCATTCACTTAAGGTATTTATTGAACACCTACCATATGCCAGGCACTATTTTAGGTGCTGTGGATTCAGCAATGAATAAAAAAGCCCTGCTGTCATGGTGCTTATATGCTAGTGGACCAATACCTTCTTGTGTTGTTGCAGCGAGCGGGAAAATGGGAAGCAGCGGGCATCTGGCAGCCCACATGTTACCCTGGAGTTCTGCAGCTATCCTTCTAGCATGAGGGCCCATATTGATTACCGCTGCTGCATGCCTCCTGCAGCCCACCGTCCTCACCCCACCAGCATCTGTGACAGCTTCTCGGTGAGGACACCAGCTTGTTTTCTGGGGTAAGGGCGGTACTGATGCCTGGCATCCTTTCTAAGCCTCTTTCTACCTCTAGGCCTATGGCTGGTGCCCTATGGGACCACAGTGTCCTCAGTCCCACAACATTGACCTTATCATTGACACTGATGAGGCTGTGGCGGAGGACAAGCGGCGGCGGCGGCGACGACGACGGGAAAAACGGAGGAGGGCTTTGTTGAGTTTGCCTGGGACACAGACCTCTGGGGAAACTGAGGATGGTCCTCCTGTGAAGCAGGTCTGTGGGGATAATCTCAAGGCCGATGAACTTGAGCAGAAGGCAGCTGAAGTTGAAAGGAGTAACCAGTCTTGCTCTGAGCAGAGTGACAAAAATGACTTGGAGATGGAGCTTACGGCAACAGAGCCTGAAACAGCTGACATGGCCACTTCAGAAGTACCAGAGACGCAAGTTGGTCCTAACTCGGGGCCTGGAGATGGACTGCACCGTGCTGGTTTCGATGCCTTTATGACAGGTTATGTGATGGCCTATGTGGGAGTGAGCCAGGGACCTCAGTCCTGCAGCTCTGGACCTTGGCTACCTGAATGTCACAACAAGGTATATCTCAGTGGCAAAGCTGTACCCCTCACAGTGGCCAAGAGCCAGTTCTCCCGTTCCTCCAAAGCCCACAATCAGAAGATGAAGCTGGCATGGGGAAGCAGCTGACCCAATTCCTGCCTAGCATTCAGGTCCCAGGAAGAGAAGCTGAGGTGGAACCAGAGATATTTGGGTCTTTGTGGCCAGTAAATGTCATACTGTCAAGTACTGTGGAGTCGGGGGGGGTCGTGGAGGTCTGGCAGAGATACCAGTGCACTACCCTGGACCTTCTCCTTTACCCCAGCAGCTGAGGTACAAGAAGGCTATCCAACACCTGTAACACCGACTTTATTTTTAAATCTGAAAGTGTGAAAGTGTCTTGGGAAAGATTTACAAAAAAAAAAAAAACAGAAACAAGTTATGAAAATATTTGACCACCTTCATCTTTGGTTATTTCTTATTGCAGTTCTTTGAGGACAGACTGTTCCCGAAGCTCCAGCTATAGCAGGAAGGGAAGAAAATCAGTCCATGTATAAACCGTTTAACCCAGTTGGGTGTATCACATGTCGACAAATACATAGAGCAGGCCCTACGGCCTACAAAACCAGCCCCACTCCCAACCATAAGGTTGAAAGTTTTATGGGGCAGAACATTAAGACTCCTTTATAAATACGAAAATAGATTAATCAACTGGAAAAGTCTTTGAATAGATTAGCTAAGAACCATGACCACCACGCTGCTGTGCCCTCCCCTTGCATAGAAATGTAGTGACGTGGTCTGACCATGCAGTAAGTGCAAACAGCAATTATTCAAGTGCCTTAGACATACTGGCAAGAAGCACCCCAGTCTTCAGGTCTGAGAAACAGTCATGCCCTTTATGGCCTCCTAGTTGACTCCAGGTTTCAGCCAGTAGCTTACATGCCCCAAGAAAGGGCAAGAGACAGACCTGGAGTGGGAGAAGAACCATGGTGATAGCTGCCTGCCAGCTCAACCTAGAACTAGGAGTCCTTTGGGGACGTACATTGGAGGGTCAGGTGGGAGCCAGGGCTCTTTGCTGGATTTTAGAGGTGTGGTATCAGCTGTCGGCCCTAACTGGCAAGGCCTTTCGCTGCTGCCTTCCTTCTCATACACAGCCGTTGGGCACTGGGAGCCCAGAAGTTGAGCCGAGCTTGGTCTAGCCTGCTCTGTGGGCTCCAGGGAAGAGTCAAGGCTGTGCATCAAGGGGTCCTATGGCTTCAGTTGAAGGTCCATCCCCAAGGTGAAGCAGGGACCAACACCTTCCCCCATACTGCTCTCTGGGTTTGTTGGACTATGCCTGAGATGGAGAGGGGACTGGAGCCAAACCTCTTGGCCTTTCTTCTACCTCCATCTCCTCAGAGGCACTTACAGGGCATGGACTGGTGCCCTGGGGCCTGGGCCCCAAACCGTTTTCTTCCTGGGAACTAGAGCAGTCCATAGCCTCATGGGCTGGAGCAGCTAGTAGGGCAGATGCCCTGAATGGTGGGATCTCTCTTACTCTGTACTTGAGACTACTGAGGCGTGGTGGAGGTCCATCAGATAGTGATTCTTCCCGGCCCACAAATGGAGAGGCCTCCTGATGCAAGAACTCTGGTGAACTAGGCAAGGAACGCCACCGGCGAAGAGGAGCAGCCAGGGGCTCCTGCCAGTCAGCCAGGGGCATAGTTGCAGGCCCTGGTGCATCCAAGTCAAATACTAGGGAGATTACAGACTTGCTTGGCAGGTCAAAGAACTTAATCTTGCCACCCTTGAGGTCCTGGCGAGCACTGAAAGGATTGACTTTGGGGATGCGGGCAGCGCCGTCTCGTTGTGGCCGGTAGTAGGGGTCCAGAACGTTGACTGTACGTGGGGGCTTGTGGGAGAAGATATCTGATTGGCTTCGAGACAGCCAGATAGTACGTCTTGGTTGTGGCGACTTGGGGGGAATCTTGTCATCCAGTGAGCTTAGTCGCTTCACTCCGGGTGCTTTCTCCAAGTGTCCTAAAGAACAGAGTTAATTCTAGGTTACTCTTGCTAGTATAACCAAAAGCAGCATTACCTTTCCACAAAGGGAAAGTAGGTATTATCTCATTTCATCAGTAAGGAAACAGATTCAGAGAAGGGAAGCAATATGCCAAATCACAGCTCTTTAGAGTACAGTACTCCCATCGTCTTCCCCTCCCCTTTGCTCTGGTCTTATAGTCTTACGATCATAGCCCTAAAGGCAAGGCCCCCACACCCTGATTTCCTCTCTCAGAGTCAGGTTGGACTCTGGTCTAATCTCTTACCCTTGGCTGTGGGCTGCAGGTCTCTGTCCCCCTCCAGCTCTTCTTCCTGTAGTCGGCTCAGAATTTCCTTCAGGGTCTTCCCAATCTCCGCAAAGGATGGGCGCAGTTTGGGATCCATCTGTAAGCATCCATACCAGCCATTAGCCCTCTTCTCCATCTCTCATTCCAGCAATGGCATTTGAGTGTTTCTAGCATCTTAAGATACAGATATAGAGCTAAGTTTCTCTGAAGGCCTCAGGCCATGAGGGTGATCCCAGGGCAAAGTTAAGGACATGCTATTGTTTATTTCCCTCTATCTCATTTCCCTTTATCCTTTTGTTTGGGAGAGAACCCTCCAGAGTATATGCTTATGTTGGTTTATTCTGTTGTCCTTGGGTTCTGCTGCCAAAGTGTATCTGGGAGGTACCTGAATAAAGCTTAGCTACCCCTTGGTCATAACAGGTAGCCCAGGCCCAAAGTTGTATTAAACAAGGCTAACAAGAGCTTGTCTGAATCCACAGTACAATAAAACCTGATTAAGAGCTCCATCAACACCCAAGGCAAGGAGTGGCAGATCTACCCTGAAGGCTGAAGACCAGATAACACAAAAGCAGTTTTTCCTTTCCTTGGTCCAGGGCTCTGGAAAGCCTGGCAAGGCCCCAAGAGCAGAAAGAGGAGGCGGTGGGGATGCTTTCACTCATCTAGTAAAAATGAGGTCCTTCCTGGGATCAGCAGTTAGCGTAATAGCTATGTCGCTGGACTCCCATGCAGTTGACCGTGGTTTGAGTCCCAGACCAGTGGCTTAAACTCACACCGGGCATGTGTGCGTGCATGCCCAAGATCCCGAGAGAAGAATGGAGGAGAAGGGATTGCAGCGTGGCCATCTCCCTGGGGGAGTGATTTCTCACCTTCTGTCTCTGTCATTCTGGTGAGCGCACGTGCCCTATAGCAAAAACCTGTCCAAAAAAAAAAAGAAAAGAAAAGAAAACGAGGTCCTTCCTAAGAGTAATTAGCAGCCTCTCCCTATAATCCTAAGCAGGTGAAAAGAGCTCAGCCAGCCCCTGATCAAAGCCAGAGGAGAAAGACACTCACATTACAGCAGTTGAAGGTGAGCTGCAGAAAGTCTGGGGGACAGTCTCCTACCATGTGCTGGAAAGCATCATAGTCCAGCCCGAAGTTCTGTGGATGGGTATAGCAGGGAGGATACAGATATGGGTAGACAGGTCATTAATTCCCCCACCCACCCTGGCTTGGTCCGAAAAGAACCTTGGAGCTGTCCCTGTAAAGTAGCCACAGGCTGAGTTCCAATAACTCCACCCCAAGTGCAAAGGAATCCCATAACCTAGCAGCCCCATCCCAGTGGGATTGATCCCCAGGCCCACAGCTCACCTCTGTGCGGGGAAGATAGTCCGGGTCAGCCTGGATGCGGGCAATGATCTCGCAGAGGATGATACCATAAGAGAACACGTCTGCCTGGTGGGTAGTCAGACCTCAGTTTCCCTCTTGGTGGAGTACCTGGCCCCATGTCTAACAACCCAGGCTGGGGGAATATTACCCATATTTCATCCAGGTTATTCACATGGCAGCTGCCAGATACCACCCCTGCTCTTGGCAGAAAGGATGTAGAACCTCACCCTGAATATGAAAGGTAATCCTGGATACTTTGTACTGAGAGGGTGGGTTCTAAAGAAACTAGGCCTTGAGGTCCTTCACACTTACCTTCTCATTATAGGGCTCATCCCGGAGAACCTCAGGTGCCATCCAGAAGGGTGAACCTACCACAGCCAGCTTCTCATTCCCCATGCTGTGGGGTGAGAGCGTAACAAAAATGAGCTTGCTGGGACCAGCAGTTGGCGTAATAGCTATGTCACTGGACTCCCATATAGTCTACTGTGGTTTGAGTCCCGGACCCGGTGGCTTAAACTCATGCTGGGTGCATGTGTGTACATGCCCAAGATCCCAAGAGGAGAATGAATGAGAAGGGATTGTGGTGTTTCCCTCCCTCCTGGGGGTGGTGATTTCTTGCTTTCTGTTTCTCTGTCTCTCTTTCTGGCAAGCGCACTCATCCTATAAAAAAACCTCTCAAAAAAAAAAAACAAAAAAAAAATCCCCCAAACCAAAAAAAAAATGAGCTTGCTGGTGCAAGGGGATTTTTTTTTGACCACTGGGAATTTCTCTACCCCCAAGAATGGGTACAGACTAGGATTGACTAAAGTTAGGGAGCTGAGGTTGTGACCAAGTCCTGAGCTCTGAAGGTTGGAGTTTTCCCTTAGCTTTAGTTCCCTCCTCTGTGTCCAGCATCCATTAGGGTTATTTACCTGACATCAGGGATCTTCTCAGCAAGGCCAAAGTCAGCTACCACTGCAGAGTAACCATTCTCATCCCTCTTTATCAGGCAGTTCTAGGGTTCCCCCCCAAAAAAGATAATGTGGCTCAGAAGTGGGAATCAACAAATACAGTTACCATCCATCCCTCCCCACCACAGGGCACCTTGTCCTCTGCTCCTCGGTGAACCAAACTGAGGCTGACCCTAGTAGTTACACGTGGGGGAGCTAAGGCAGCCATGTGAGATGAGTTAGTCCTAGATATCAGGTGGGTCCTTAGGGTTCACTTCAGGTTCCAAACACAAATAATGTATCTTGTTCTAGCCTGATGGCACAGTCGGTAGCAGACAACTACAATGCCGGAAGCCATATGGCCAGTTGTACGTTCAGATCCTTAGGTTGGCCTGAAAATACCCACTGCATGCACACATGCTTAGGATCCTGACGAGTTTAAAGACCGGGAAAGGGGACTGTGGTGTGATGGAACCCTGTCAGGGGTGCTGCTTTCTCTCCCCCATCTTGTCTGGACATGCACTCTGTCATGAATCAAACTATCTATCTATCTATCTATCTATTTATTTTCAGTTTTGCTGTAGGGTGCTTGCACTTGCTAGATAAGACAGAGAGGGAAAGAAATCATCCCTCAGGGGGGATGGCTACACCACAATCCCTTCATTCTCCTCTCAGGATTTTAGACATGCATGCATATGTGCCCAGCGTGTTTTTCAAGCCACCGGATCCAGGACTTGAATCATGCTGTCAGCCATGTGGGATTCAGCTGCCTTAACCACCAGGCCACTGGTTAGCCCTATACTTCTTTTCCTTTCCTTTTTTTTTTTTTTTTTTTAAGATTTGTCAAGATTTGCCAGGGGCCACATTTACTTTCCAGCTAGATAGAATATGAGAAAGCACCATACGATGGGGTGTGGTCACACCACAATCACATCTTCACTTCTCCAATTCAGGATTTGGGGCACACATGCACATAAGCCCCATGTGTTTTTCAAACTGCCATGCCAGGATTCAAATCATATGGTTGATCATTTGAGATATGGCTCCCTTAACCACTCAGCTGCAGGGCCCGTCCTAAAAACCTTTTCTTGCCTTGTTATTTATTTATTTATTTTGGAGCAATTTTTGCTGTAGGGCGCGTGCACTTGCCAGAAAGACAGAGACAGAGAGATAGAAAGCAAGGAATCACCCCCCAGGGGGGACGGCCATGCCGCAATCCCTTCTCCTCCATTCTGCTCCTGGGATCTTAGGCACACATGCACAGGCACCCGGCCTGAGTTTAAGCTGCCGTGTCCAGGACTCGAACTGCAGTCGACTATGTGGGAGTCCAGCAACATAGCCATTACACTAACTGCTGGTCCCTGTCTTGTTATTTTATTTATTTATTTATTTTTAATTTTGCCAGACAGTGTGTGTAATCGCTAGGAGCAGAGAGAGAAAAAGTGAGAAAGCACCTCCCAATTCCCCATGGGGAATGGTTACGCCACAATCCCTTCTTCATTTCTCCTTCCATTTGGGATTCTGGGCATGCACTCATTCACTCGGCATGTTTCTCAAGCTGCTGGGTCTAGGACTAGAACTGCAGTGAGCCATGTGGGATCCAGCTCCCTTCACCACACCACAGGCAGCTCAAATCTGTTACCTGTTTTCCTTCTCTTTCCTTTCTACGTCACCAACAACTCAGGCTCCTGTCTCCAAGGCTCAGTGCAAAATCTTTACTGTTTGCTTTATAGTCCTCAGCTACAACTCTGGTTAATTCCTCTTGGAATCAAAGGCAAGGAACAGGATGTGGCCACAGTGCATTGCCCTTGTCAAAGTCCTAAACAAAACTTTAAGTTTCTTTGTTTGCTTGTCTTCTAAGTACTAGACATAGTTTCAAGTGCCAGAGACACCTCAGTGAACAAAACAGAAAGCCCTATCCTTTTGGAGCTTACAACTGAGTGAAGGAAGACAAGACTATCTTGCCCCTCGCCTCCCGTCCTCCATCCTTGGAATGCAGATACCCAAAGCCCACACCTGACCTTGACAAGTAATGTAAACACGTGAGTGCCCAAGCCTACGCTAACTTCAGTGCCCACGGGATTACAACCATTCGTCTCTCTAGCATTAAAATCTATGATCTGGGGGCACCAGGTGGCATAGTAGTTAAGGCACTGGACTCCTGTCTCTCTCTGGTGAGCACATTCACCCTATGGCAAAAACAACAACAACAACAACAAAAAAAAACTCTGTAACTTGGAGGTGGCTCTGTAGTGCAGAGGTAATGCACTGTTTAAGAAAAGCTGGATCCCACGTGGTGACCACAATTCAAATCTCCAGCCAGGTCAGCCTGAAATACACAGGGCACACGTGTAAGCCCAAGATCTGATGGGCTGGAGGACAGGAGGAAAGGGATGGGGGAGCGGCCAGACCCTGTGGAAGGTGCTCATCTCTCTGTCTCTGTCATACTCTCTCCTGTGGAGGGTGCTCATCTCTGTCTCACATACTCTCTCTCATATGCATGCATGTGCTCCGTCATAAATAAAAAGAGAAGTATGATCTGGCTCCATCAGTCAGCCTACTTATAACCCCCTGTTTCTGGTGCCCCTATTCCTATCCCCATTTGAACTTTTCAGACAAGCTTCGCTTATCAAACCTAAACTGGCCTTTCAACCCTTTGCCCTTGTTTACACTGTTTCCTTCCATTTGGAGTATTCTCCCAATTTTCCTTTTCACCTGTGAAAATGTTACCGCTTTTAGGGCAGCCTTGACTTCTCTAGCCCTCCCTTCATCTCTCTCTCATCTCAAGTCCTTTGGTTCCTCATCTACGTCACTTCCTCTTAAAGCCTAGCAGGGAGGCTATGGGCTCCTCAGAAAGGTTCTGGTTAGGACCTTCCTTCCTCACCGTATTCAATTCACAAGAGAGGTTGAGTTCATGCTCATAGAACAAATGCTGCTGTCTCCAGAGACAGGATGAACCTAAATGACCTGTACATAAGCACAAAGCAGCAACCAGCTCTCCCCAAATAGCTGCATTCAAAATAGCCCTACACCACCCTGGCTCAGGAGGCACCTCACCCACCCGCTTCCTCCAGAGGCAGCAGAGCAGGGTTCCTTGGCTCACAGAAACATTTCTGGGGCCAGCAAGGCCCTATCTGACCCAAACCAGCCCTCATTCCTTGCCAGCCTTGGCATCTAGTTGCTAAAACAGTGCCAAGTCATCTCCTGCTTATTCCACATCAGGTAATCAATCCTTTACTCTGTCCTCGACATGGTCACACAGTCTTCCCCGAGCTGCAAGGAGCCTGTGACTTCATCACATCTGCCCTGGATCCCAGGTAGATGTGGCTGGGACACACAGCATACCTGTACACACAGCATACCTGTACACACAGCATACCAGTATACACAGCATACCTGTATACACAGCATACCAGTACACACAGCATACCAGTATACACAGCATACCTGTACACACAGCATACCAGTATACACAGCATACCAGTATACACAGCATACCTGTACGCACAGCATACCAGTATACACAGCATACCAGCATACATAGCATACCAGTATACACAGCATACCTGTACACACAGCATACGAGTACACACAGCATACCAGTATACACAGCATACCTGTACGCACAGCATA